TATAATCCGTTACGCGCAAAACGAAATCAATGGCGTATTTAAGAGATCTGGCTGTTATCAATTGACTCCTTTAGTAAAGATGTAAAGATGAGTAAATTTATTAAATTTGAGAAATATTAGTTATGAAGAATTTAATATTCTATGCATTTTTTTTTAAAAAAAAAAACAAAAGCGAACCTAATTTAGTTTCTTTTTTAAAAATATTAGTCTTTGCAAAATTTTATCCAGATTGATGATATGACAGGTGGCTTATTTCTATACAAATTTTCCGAATAATGTAAGTCAACATTATATAATCATTGATCTTTTATTATTAGAATAAATTCTAATTACATTGACTAACTCAAATAAAATTACAAACGAATTTTATATTCAACTAGAAAATAGATTCAAGATGTATAAGTTGCGATTTATAATTTCCGGTGTTACGGTCGAGTGGGAGAGCTTTAGGTAATTGGTCCGATTTAGCTTCGATCGTGAACAAATAGTGATTAAGGTTGAATGGTTTAGATCAATAAACTAACACACATAATTACAAGTTAAGGTTTCTCTTTATTAACAAAATCGATATATCGGAATATTACAAATATTATTAATAACCGTTAACAATCAATCGTTCATCCTTTTTTTCTCCCCTCCTCATAATCTGAAACTGCACCTTTATATATCTTTAATTCGTATGGGGTTTTAATCGCTCTTTTGGAGCTTTAATCAGCCGATTGGGATTTAATCAGTCGTTTGGAGATTTAATCACCCAACCGCGCCACAAATTATACTATGATATATAGAATAATATGACACTAACTAAAAAATAAAAATTTGAGCATAACATCATCCCTCCCTCGGAAAGATGAGCTCCGGCGAATCATTCATCCAGTCTTGACAAGTATTAGGACGTCTACTGGATATCTTAGGGTAATTGCGGGATTTTTTTTTTTTTTTTTTATATCACGATCGCCTATATTGTTTTTCATAAATGGACGTTCCACTAAACTACCAATTCTATCTTTATCGGCACTTCGGGTTTCGATTATAAGACCGTGCAACTTCTTCATCGTAAGAGTTCTCCACAATTCAACTCTAACCTTCATCTGCACCCTTTTAACCTTAACATTCACTTTATTATTGCTGAACGATGGGCTGTTACCAATATCCTTACATTTCACCATTCTTATATTATCGCCGACTTCACCATCATGTTTCTTTAAGCTTGGTGGATCCTTGATTCGCGCAACCTTATCCATTCAGGCACTGCACATTTCTTGGATATCATTATTGCTCAGTCCACATCCCTTCACTGACTTCACACCTCTGATATTTTCGACTTTCAACTTCCAAACTTTACAAGCACCAACAACTTCCTGGTCATTTTCATACGCCTCATCAACAGCACTTTTCTTTCGTTTCACTGGGCTTTCATCACGCTTAATTACACTAAAACGGGTCTTAAATGATTCGATTTTTTTCTTCCACTCTATACTAATGACATCCAAAATTTCACAACTATCGGTTGGTTTGCCTTTTCCAACACCTATTCCATTCGATTCGCTTTTGGTGAGACTTTTGACTTCGTCATCGCTTTCGTGGAGCGGGATTTTCGGGCGACTCATATGGGCTTCGGGTTCGTTCTTTTCGGCCCTTATTCTATTCTTATCACAGTATTCAGGGTCATCAGTCCCACCAAAGCATTCCATGTTCGGGCAGCAAATTGTCACTTTATTTTCACCCTGGGTAACGCTTATGCCGTTTAGGTAACAACGTTCAAGAGCCCATATTGTACTAGTATGACCCATATCCGCAGGCTTTTGATAGTTAATGAATGCCTTAGGTTCATATTTTCCGACCCCAATTTGGCAACTATAACCAAGCTTATTTATTTCTATAGCATTACCCATTTTGCTGTTTTTTGATCAACAACAAATGCTCGACATTCATCCTTTTCGACACAAGTCTCCCTCGATCGAACACCACTACATCATTGCCATCTTCATCACGTTGTCTTCTACAGTCGTTTTACCGCCAGCTCGCATCACTCTCAGTTTATCTCCTCTTTCAGTCTAATCAGTATGATTTATATCTGTGGGTCCTAGACACTTTATAAGTGATTTGTATTTATCCTTTCTAATTTCTATTCCATTTTGATAATGATATCCGAGGTCACGTGTTTCGTCATTACAGCAAGACTTTTTGGATTTTTGACAATCATAGGATGTCTTTTGACCTTCCTTTTCAACTCCAATTTTATTCCGATAACAATGAACACCAGAAAAAACAGGTACTGGTATGTTATTATTATTGGTTGCCTTACATTCATCTTTCTTAATCCCTATACCATTTTGACGACACATTTAAGGTCAAATAAACTTCGGACGTCTCTTCCGAATCATTCATTATTGCACGATCATCAGGCGTATCCTTTTTGAGTGCTTCCTTATTCTTATTATTTTTGTTACAACGACCTTCTACTCTTCTACTTGGAATTTCATGTTTATTGTCTTTAGGTCTTTCATCCTCCTGTTTTTGTCTCCTTTATTGAAATCTCTTCCTGAGTTTTATCGTCCGGGTTTGCCATTATTAAAGAATTGATGGGCTTCGTTTTCTCTTCCTTTTTACTTTCATTCTTGCTCACGTGACCACTCGCTTCATCATTCCCAACCTGAACAATGGTAGCTGGTTTGGTCTGTTTATCACAGCAGAGGAAACCCCTTGTTCCACGAGGTTCTTCGTTGTTGAGGACACGGGGTCGCTACTCGTGGCGTCGGAGGAGGCACTATTTGGAGCAACTGCGGAGGGTGCAACCTCTGTGTTCGTCACCATAATAAACATCGTGATGGAGCCAAACATAGTTAGACTACGTGCAAGCATCATTTCTCCTGCTTGGGTCCTCTCTACAGCTTCTTGTAATGTGTTGGGCATAAATGGTTTGAACTTTTATCTCCTCGGAATATTGGTTTCCAATTTTGATAGACGATTAAATAACATCAGCATATCCGTCATGTACTGTTCTACAGTTTCCTCAACACGTTGACATCTGGTTAACAATTCGAAATTCCATTGGTTAATTATGCTTGTGTACAAAAGGACTGATGTACAGTACAAAGCTTTGGTCTTGCGCATGATTATTGTCCCAATGCTGGGTTCTCTTTTTTTGTTCTTCCCACCACAGCGCAGCCAAACCAGACAAATGAGCACCTGCTACTGTAAGCCTTCTTGTTCCTAGTATATTGTTTACTTCAAAGACCCGATTAATTAAATCCAACCATTCTATCGGGTCCTGATTACCACCTACGAAAGTCTGGATTTTCACTAAATCTATTTCCAATTGAGGTTCCTGGGGATGCACCAAAACGTTTACCATGACCTGGGAAAAGTTGTTGAAGTTGACCACTTGAATTGTTGACTTGGGCAGAATTTTCTGTTAAAATATTTTTCGCTTATTAATGCACTATCATTACTATTAAAGTTTTTACTATTCTATCTATTCTCTTATTGTTCTTTGAATTTAACATATTTCTCCACATTATTTTAGCCAAATAATACTTTTATGACAAGAAAATGTGATCAATCCCACTCGACCGTAACATTTGGTGCCGATTGTGTGGAGAGCTTAGATAATTGGTCCGATTTAGCTTCGATCGTGAACAAATAGTGATTAAGGTTAAATGGTTTAAATCATTAAACTAACACACATAATTACAGGTGAAGGTTTCTCTTTATTAACATAAATCAATACGTCGGAATTTTACAATAATACTAAATACTATTAATAGCCGTTAACAATCGTTCATCCTTTTTTTCTCCCCTCCTCATAATCTGAAACTACACCTTTATATATCTTTAATTCGTATTGGATTTTAATCAATCGTTTGGAGCTTTAATCAGTCAATTGGAGCTTTAATCAGCCGATTGGAGATTTAATCAGTCGTTTGGAGATTTAATCACCCAACCGTGCCACATCGGAAGATAATTCAAGGATGGACAAGCGAAAATCAAAAATATGGATAATTATATAAAAGACCTTCAGCTTAAAACGACAAAATATGAAGAAGTGATCGAATGGAATCCTTTTAATATGGCTGCTTTCTTTAAGGAGCTTGTATTATTACCACAAATCAGGTAAATGATCACATTTTGATCAAACATAAATTTTGAATTGTTTTCGATCTGTTTACTCGTATTAATATGTTCATTTACTCATATTATTACACTATATCTAACCTACAATTTTTTAAAATAATAAACAGAATGAAAACGTAATCCAGAGAAATCAGAAGAAGGAAACATTAAGTACGCGATATAAAAGTAAGTATCGATTAATGTTAATGTGGCGCAACTAATATTTTTTTTTGCGGATTTGAGGTCTACTGGTCCTGCATGAGGGATCGGTTATGAACTTTCCTCGAACTGCGTAAAAAGGTATTAATATAACACGCTTTTCCGATCGCTAACCTGGCACTTCTGGGCGTATTTCATACTTT